ATAATATATAATATATAATATATATAATATATAATATACATAATACATATAATATACATAATATATAAATTGTATATTACATATATTATATATATTATATATGTTATATATATTTCATATGTTATATATATCCTGCAAAAGTTAGGGGATTACTAGAAAATTGGTTATTCGGTGTAATTGCAACAAAATTTCGATTTGCGAGTCTTGACAAAGTTCCGGAACTGTCGTTAGCAGTTTTTTTTTCTTCTAAAACCTTCATCCATCTTGGCCAAATGTTTATTTCAGGCTCATAACTGTGTTCTGAGCCCGTTAAAAAAGCGATGGAAGTTGTTCAGTGTCGTCGGGACATTATTTTGCTTTCCAATTTTAGCAACTCATTCTATTATGTATTTGTCGAATTCTGAACTATACCATACCCTCCAGCAAGAAACATCGAAACCGTCACATTACTCCCCAATACCCACAGTGTCCGTCCTTCTTTTTACGCTTCCAATTGCCCTCATTTACAATTTAACCAGGCTGTAACGGATGCCCTTCAAGTTTCTGCGAACCTGTTACACTGGCATGCGTCATTAAAAACTCATTAAAACTAATGACTCAATTCTTTCCCACAGGTTAAGCCAGGATGCAATGAATTTAAAAAATCGACTCCTCCATCGAAACACGCCCGTGAGTAGCCTCGCCACCCACTTCCACCAAATGTTGCATAAACATTTCCTTCCTTCTAAAATACTTCAGTCGACCAAATTAAAACTTTTCGAGAAACGATTTTCTACAGCGAATAACATTTGTTCCATCATTTACCTCATTAAGTTTTTTCATCTAGTATTCTAGAAGAATACCCAGATCGTTTCAAGTCTCTTACGTATCACATAATTAAGAGTTTTGTGTACAAAACTTTACAAGTCAAAAACAATATTTACATGTAGTATCACTGAGCACAACAAAGTTTCAGTTAAGTGGATAACCGAGATGTACAGAGATATAATACAAGGCTATTGAATGTTATCCATCTAAACATTATATTAAGACTCTACTCCAGAAGTCATTAAAAAACCATTTCTGGGTAACAAATTTACAAAAAAGTAACAAAAACTATTTCAAAAACTCAATGCATGAGCTCCTGAAACTGCATATGATACAGTTTGATAATCTGAAAACCAGCCAGATAGTCCAGAACCATTAAAGTCTTGTCCCAAACATCGTCGAGATTCCTCAAAAAGAAGCATTTACACTGGATTCTGTTGCGTTGTAGTTTTTGTTGTTGTAGCCACTGTCTCATTTTCAAGAGACTGTGGAACAGTAACAGTATTGACTGTGTGCGGAGTCGCTAGACGTTGTCTTTCTTCATTGTGGAGGATATGATGGATCGCCTTAAAATCAAGACTCTCGATCAATGAAATTTTCAAAAGCAAGTAATCCTTTTTAAACGGAACACAGCAGCTAAGAATTTAGTATGCTGATTACCTGATAGACAGAGACAGCTGCACAAACAGTTATGACATGGATCGTTGATAAGATCGCTAAGTGGTTGACAACTTTTGAGAGCCAGGAATCTAAAATTTCACCGGTATTATAAATAATTTGATTACCTATCCAAATTATTTCCCACTTTAAAAAGCTTACTTGACCAGTGATCACTAGCACCAAAGCGAATTCGTCCATATTCGTCTTCGTAGTAGTCGGTTTTCACCGACATAATCCCTGGAACAACAGCAGTCTTCGGTTCAAAACTGCCTCCTTCGCCATTTACTTCATTGATGATCAGCCGAATAAGATAAAATATTGTGTATCCACCCCAGATTAATAATTTTATACTCTAAAATTTACAGTTCAATACTTCGTAACTGTAGCAAACCTCGCAGAAAAATTTTAAAATGGATTTTTTTCAAAAACTTTTCGCTGCCATTTTCGCACTTATCGATTTTAAGTAAACATTACGCTTAATTCGGCACATTTCTATATCTACCTCAATAATTATAAAAGGTAAGATAAGTTCCGTTTTCTCCTTAAATAAACCGTACACCAACGCGATAAATGCAAGGAACTCGAATGCGTAGATTATCCAGTGTAACCAAACAGGAAATGGTAGATAGTACATATCAATCACAACATTTTCCACGACCGCTGCAGTCAAAGGCAGGATGAAAAGTAGGAGTGTAACAAGGGCTCTCTGAAATCAATGTTGAAGGAAGGTGAAGTTGCAAGAGTCTCATTAACGTTTAAGTGAGCAAATTTACAGCTACGAGTAGATTAAAGATTTATCCACTAAATACTAAAAGACTTTAATGCGACATTTCACGTTTGTCAACAATTCTAAAAAAGGGTTTCTAATAAAGCAAAGATAACATGTTCTGAATTAGTACGGTAGTCAAAATGTGAGCCTTGAAGTTTTTAAGTGAATAAGCGTATATCAGGGCAATATTTGTTAGTATTCCAAACAACAAATTTAAAACTACCTTAGCATTTGTAGCACGGTCCCGTGGGCCTCTAGTTGGAGTAGTTAGCCATTCATGAAGCGAAAAATATACCATCTTGGCAGGTTCCTGAAAAAATAACCATATCAGCGGCTGAAATTAGAACAAAAAAGATGCTGCGTGAGTTGATAAGTGTTTTAAAAAAAGATATTTCAGAAACCAGACTATATCATAATGCTTCAGTTCAACAGAAACAATGCCATTCGTTCAAAATAAAACATAAAAAAGAACCATTAAGCAATTAAACAGTAAAACTCAATCCACTAAAAAACATTTCATACTTAGGGGAGAAAAATGAACGGATAAAAATGCTTTCTCTGAGATCATTATTCTCACACATAACACATATTGCCAAACCACATATTACATTAATCTCGTTCATCTTTAACCAAGACTATATTCATCAGAGCACCAATACATTCTGTATAGTTTCTTCCTTAAATAAACAGTTTATAAATAATGGTGGATGCATCAGCGTGAAGAATTCAAAATGAAAAAAAAAACACATTTTTTTAGCCTGTCCAGATGAATAACGAAACTGTCTTATATTGGCTTAATTTTTTTAATCATTTCATAGAAAATTTCGAATATCAGTTAGCAACTCTAAGCATATGTTCCTACTTTAGTTGTTTAGTGTTCTAGAAATGAAGTTAAATGTTGGAAGTTTCGAAAAAATAAATGAATATATAAATAAAACAAAACATTTGCAAATGTAATTTTTTAACAAAAAGATCTACAGTCCGTAGTCTACGAATAGATGCTAAAGGTGAAGGCAGAATGACCGAAAAGCAGCAGAATGAAAACATTGGAAGACCCCAAATGAAACGGTGCTGGGCATTACAAATCATAGAACAGCAAACGAAACAGACAACAACAACAAAAACAACAAAAACAACAACGGGGACAATTTACACGGGGATCGGCCGTAAACAACGTTGCTGTTACTCCTGCTGCTGCTGCTGCTGCTGCTGCTCCTGCTTTTCTCTTGCTGTTGCTATTGCCGTTGCCGTTGCCGTTGCTGTAGCTGTTGCTGCTGCAGCGGCAACAACACCGAAATAAACAAACAAAATAAGAAGAGAATGGTTTCTTTACTTCGTCCAAAAGATTGCCAATTCCAATAACAAAATGCAACGGAGTGAAAAAAATTACGTCATTTTTGTTGAATTAAATAGTCGGTGTCGTAAAAAAAAAAAGCCTCAAAACAACTGTTATTCGAATAAAAACTTGAAAACAAAACAAGTCTTGATCAGCAAGCAAATCATTATCGTTCCACTTAACGTTGTAAGTTAAAAAAAGGAACAAATGGCTTCAGTAAGTCACTTAAGTACATTGTTTTGACCTATCATACTAAGGGTATTCAAATAAAACAAGCCAAAAAACCAGTAAGAATTTATGAAAAAAAAAAGCATAGACATAGAACATTATTTTTATATGTATGATATCACGCTACACGTATAATAGCTTCCACCAACCAATTTATTTAGTATGGCATTACTGTTCAACAGATGTTTTGATAGATCAGACTATTATTATTTGAACAAAAATTTTTCAAGTAATTTTTTAACAACTAATTCCTATGAATATACTGCCATCAGCGGCAGATGTGCGTTACGCCTTTATCGTCGTTGGCCCAACAAAACTTAGGTTCTTATTTCTGGCTAAATCAGTTTTCTTTCTTTTCAGATTGTTTACCACAACAGCAATATGGGCACCTTTTGAAAAAATAATAAAGAAAAAAACAATTTTTTTCAAGTTTCACAATAGGCATTTTTTATAGGGAATAGAGAATATTTTCCATTTCTATGCATTTTTTGATGACAACCAAACAGAAAACAATTGCCGCCTCTGTATTGCATAAGAGATAATTATTGAGGACATAAGCTTTCAGCAGCAACACAGTCTTTTCGGCACTAAAACAGGTAACAATAATCCAAAACAGCATCACATGAATAAAAGTTGCGGAACTTACTTGTTAATGAACAGAGTTTCAAAAATTGCCAAAAACAAGCAGACGGGAGAAAATACAACCCGATTTCTCAATAATTACAAACAGAACCAAGTTAAATTTAGCAACTCTAACAGACAGTGAAACGAAAAAACAACGGATCTAATAAACATTAACTCTCCATCCTCCAACAAAACTTCGCTGCAAAACCTGTTTTCAAATTTTTATTATCTGCAAAAAACTTATAATTTTACCTTCAAATTTTACCAGGTTCCCTATATAGCAAATTTCTAGTTGTTTCATGCATCCTTTACTTCCAGATTATTTCAGCATTCCCAAAACTTCATCCACCAATACGGTTGTTTAACCTCAAGTACTAACTCGAAGAGCAGTGTGTCCTGAACATTCACAAAATTTTACTGTTAAATTTAAACTGCAGGTATTTGCCTACCATCAGAATTCCCCCCTAACAAAACCGTTTGATTATTGTTTGCCTCACTTTATTATGCCCTTCCAATAAACCATATAATTTCTTAAGCCACTCTATTATGCATCTCAAGTTGCTTTGTCAAGTTCTTTTTGAGAAAATAGGTGGTGCAATTAGCAATTGCACGGTAGAGGGACTACACGTAAAAATAAATCTTCCTTAAGTACAGGATAATTACATACAACAATACAGGCATCAGAAAATGCAGAGCCTATTGCAAGAAGAAAGCCTGCAAAAAACATGAAAAGTTTGATTAATAAGAACATTCGCAAAAAGTTAAAAACTGAAACTTCGTAGAAAACACTTATTTCCTAATGGCATACTCTAATGGTGACTATACTGCTGTAACTTGAAAGGAGAGCAAGTCTGCTTAGAGTGAAACATCCGTTCTTTAGACAGGCAGCCCTTCTTAAAAATCGTTACTTGAGTTTCCTTCCTTAGGAACTTGGACAGAATTCTCCAATCTCCTAAGCACCTCAAAGTTAATTCAGTCATTTTACGAGCCAGACATGGAAATATCAAAATATCGAAATTAGAGCAAGTTTAAAGTTGACTGCTAGAACCAGTTACTCAAACTTTCTAATTTGCTACTGAATAAAGTTTGTAATGCATTGCGTGTTTGGTACTTCCAGTTATATAAGTATAATGAACAGCTTTTTACAGTGTATATCAAGCTTGCTTGAATCCCTTTTTCTGGAAGGGTTTCGCAAAAAATATATCGAATTAAAGAAACAGCTAAACAACCGGAAATTATTCAGCAGTCATTCAAGACATAAGGAAAATAAGTATAAATGAACAAACAACAGCATTTGAAGGAACCGGTAAAAATATTGCCAGCGCATACCACTCTTAAATGGTATCTGTTTGGCAGTTATGCTTGTTATGAATCCACAACCTAACTTCGTAATGACGTCATCAAAAAAAAAAAACCATTATTTGATAAACAATGATACACCTAGAATTGACTGTGCACACAGCTAAGCATACGTTTTTGTATCCTCTATTCATTTTTCCACTTTCTGGTGACATCCCACTCTACTTTCCCGTCTTTGGAGTAAATCGGCACCTCGCCTTGCCTTCTACTTCTCGGCATTCACAAAAATTTCAAACTCCTCTACACTACTTTAGTGTTTTAAAAACCATTGTACAAGCGTTACTTTAACTCTTATAAAGTCAAAACAACACCTTTCTGGTGTCATGCTATGTGCAATATCTGCTCTCTGTAATCGCATTTGCAGAAATCTGAAAGGTTTAAATGCACCACCTGTACAAAGACCTTACCCATAGATACTTTTCTTCTTGGCTAGAATCTGGTAAGCCCAAAATCAGCGAAGCAAAACGGCTCTTTAGCTGCGTACGCAGAACCTACTCACCCACAGAATGAGCATAAAGATGTCAATAGCAATGGCTTTCTAAAAAACACTCCTACTGTTAATTGCATCAAAGAAGCTCTTGATCTCTCATATACGTAAACTTCATTCACCAGCTGTATAATTATCCTAAATGCAGATTGCAGGTTTCTTCCAATTGGACCTGCATTTTCTGCATCGCAACAGCACATGAAAGTCGAAATCGCACTGTGAAGGTGTGCCCACTGAACTTATACCACTGATTTCGTAAAGATCACAAGGAAGCCTTAGGGGCGACCGAGTAACATGTAATTCACTGTATGCTTTCGTCTTTTTTATAGCAGTTCAGCTTTTTAATGTTTATTTTTTGAGAGGTTGGAGACCGGAGTAATTGGTTTTTTTTTCAGCTTTTTATTGCGTTGTCGGAACTAATTTGATTGAACAGTTGATCACAACTCCTTTCCGTTGTCGCTACGGGTATCCTCGTTTCTACAGCTATAAACCGTAAGCCATCGGATTTGCCGACGCTTGCAACACTATATTGAGGACTGTAATCCCTTGAGTCGGCGCAAAGCGGTAGCGTTTGTTGAAGCTTAACTTGGATAGTCCTAAATTTACTAGAACCTTCAACTATTACACGCGAATGAATAACAAAAGAAAGCTTTCTCAGCACTGCTCACTAACTTAGACTCCAACAGTGTACCGTAAATTAACTCATGAATTGAGAATCGGCACGGCTCGCAAGTCCGGTAACGAATCCCAACCAGTGAAGATAAAGAATTATCTCAATGAATAGAAACGAAGCAACTTCAAACAAATAATAGATCGTAAAAGCTTGAAGAAATTGGAAATAATGGACGATGAACTATTTGAAACTAAAATAACAAGAAAAAAACAAATTCAAGAGGAAAATTGACAAAGCTATACAACGGGCAGGAAAGGCAAAGACGAGCATAGCGATCACCAGCTTCTATTGTTGATCACGACAAGAAAACAATAACTTCCTTGCTGTATACCTTGCTCTTTTATACCTTTCGTCTGGGCAGTGATCCACAGCATGGCCTCTGATAGCGCTCCCTTAAGGTAGTGCCTGCTTCGTTATAGCCAGTCTTCGGCCCTTCCGGCCATTTCGTGTGCCGTCGCGACACTCACAACTAAGACGGACGATTATCGCCTAG